CGGCCCAGGTGAGCTCCACTGCGCAGGCGCCCCACCCCCAAGAACATGGCCGGTGGCGCGGCGGGCCCTGGGGCGGAGCGGAGCACCGCAGCCCTGGGCGGGCAGGAGCCGCGAAAGGCCGCCGAGAAACAACGCGATGCTGAAAGCGGACAACGCAGCTGCGGCCGAGGAACTGATCTCGGAACGGTGCTAGCTCTGGTTGTTCCCAGCCAAGACCCGGCCACTGCAGGAGTAAAAGTCTCGCCAGTAGTGCTACTTTATGCAAAGCAGTGCTATCAAATATGACACGGACACGGTTTAAGAAAAAATTTACTCATCCATTAGTACTTCCGCCAATATTGCAACAGATTTGAAAGGCAAACACTGTTACAGTTTAGAAAAAACAAATTTTATACAGTTAAAGTATTAAACAAGTCTCAAAAAAACAGAAATCGGTGGCTGAGTAATAAGCCTGGAATTTCACATCCAGTATTAGCACCTACAGTACCACCAAAAGCCAGAACACTCGACCTGTTCTGCATCAGTCTTCTCCTTTCCTATATTCTTGAATTCCTTCTATAATTGGACAACGACGCTCCGAACCTAAACTAGGACATCCTTGCTTTGATAAGGGAAAAGGATAGAAGAGAAAAATGTTAAGCCAGCCTGGTTTGTAGGAACTTTACTTTTGCAGGTATTGCTGAGAATGTCGATGCACAGGGGATACTAAATAATGCACAGTTCTACTTTTCAATAGTGTGCCAGCAGAATAGAATTAAGAAACCATCTTATACAACATCTAACAGTTTGTCAAATCAATGTTTTCCTATAAATTATATATAATAAATCCATAAAGAAACAGTTTTACACTTCACATTAATCAGAGTAGGGTAGGAATTGTTACGTTTATTGGTTCAGCATCCATTTTATTGTACTTACTGTTTTATGATTGAATAGACCCCCCCCTCTTCCGGTGAGCATTGACAGATGCAATAACAGCGCAGATACAGTAGTAGAAAAAACACCAGGATTAAAGTCCAGCTATTCCTCCCCCTTCTACGAACAACCAAAACATTGAAACAAGTAAGACTTTGCCTTCTGGTTTTCCACAAGAATCAGCACAGGAAACGTAAAATGCTTGTTGCCTTGAGTCACTTCTTGCCAGTGAGAGGCACTGTGTATCCCCTCACTCCAATACTGAACTGGAGGGAAGGCCTCGTTTCTGGAAAATTCCCAACTCTGACTTGTAGCTTTCCAAAGCCCGATTGATGTACAGAAGGGTTTAAGAACTAGGGAGGAACAGCACTGCACTTACGTGACTAAAACTAGACTTCCGTTGGGCTAAGTGCCCATTTCTTTCAGAAGAGTACGTAGCTTTACCACTTCTGCTTTTTCTTGAAAAAAACTAAAAAGTGATCTCATTGCTTAAAAGTTTGCCACAAAATGGATGCTGACCAGCCAGGTCACCCCATGTGGAGCAGTTTTAGGAAGTTAGTCCTTGTAGTAGATGGCACTGTGGATCTGGCAGCAGAGAAAGGAATGATGCTCTAAAGTAGGAGGTAGGGGAACTTTGATACAGCAAGTCCACTGTTGAGCTATCTGCTAGAAAAGAAGTTTCATATTATTAGAAACTATTACTAAATAAAACCAACAAAACCCTACACAAACCTTTACATAGCTATATTTTGTTATCTTAGGAGGTATGTAGCAGGAAAGGTATGGTTACCACGTGCTGTGGTGAGAGTAGCAGGAACAGAAGCCAACACTCATTTGTCTAACAGTAAATAAAGACCTTTACTTCTTTGTTTCTTTCTGCATAACAGGCATAAATATTTCCAATCTCTTTTCTGCACACATTGCCAACAACCTAGACCTAGAATACCATCCCAGGATCTGCAGAGTACCTAAGACAAGGGAGCCAGTTCAAATTTGAGCTTTTCAAAACCAAAGCTTAATGAAAGTTCAGTAGGTATTTTTGAAACTCAGGGATAGTAATTTTGCAGTTCTATACTGCATGCAATTAGCATGATCCTTTATTTTAGCCTCTCTCTTTCAAGCACTCTGAGCACACTTTTCACTTTGTGACTCTGCCACACAGTATCATGAAAACTAAGTGCCTTTCAGCAACTTTTTCCAGTTAAAGCTACCAAAGCTAGAAGTTGCTGGCCACTCTTAACTGAAAGCATCACGAGTGAAGATACCAAAGTGAGAACTGGAACAGCATCCAGCCGAAAAACAGCAATAAAAAATTTTTGGATGCTAGAATACACTCAGGGACAGAGACATGCAAAGATTTTTCCACTGAAAACTACTGGGTAGGACAAGATCTCAAATACAGTAGCAGATCTCAGAGTTCCTCTGAATTTACACAGATCTTGCAGAGACCATTAGAAGTCTTAAGATATGCCATCTATTCCTAGCCAGAGTCATGTCCTCTACCACTATACAGGATAGAAAGACAGTCCACATTTTGTAGAGCCCATGCAGGCTGCATTCATGAACAGATCATCCAGGACAGTATGCAGGCTCCGAATGACTAGGTTACTGATGAGGAGATGAATACCTAATAAAGCCCCAGTTCCAGATTAGGCTTACTTGGGTACTCATACTGCTTTCAAAACAGATGTTTACTGACCACAAATATTTGCAATTCATCAAACCATCCAGAACTTCACGATACAAGTCTTTCTTCATTTTAGAAATTTCAGTTGTTTGAACACTGACAGAACTAGCTTTCATGTAATTGCTCAAAACCCCATCACCTACGAAAACATTCTGCAGTAATTGCGGTGAAATGAGTCATGACAAATGGCTTGTGCCAAATATATGCAGATGCAGTTGATAAAACACAAACTTATTCCAATAGCAGAACACAAGTGCCATGCAATACAACAGATTCCCAAGTGCTAATAACCAGATAAAGAAGGATATTTTGAGACAGAATTGGCATCTACAAACAATGCCAAGTTGACAAGCCAGTTGTTTAGAAACAGGTATGCATCAGCAAGAATCTTCACTGGTTTGCTTTACCAGAACTTCTTGTCATGGCTTGCTCCAGCTTGCAGTAGATTAATCTGGCTTACATGCACTGTAAATATGGGTCAATCATAAGCAGGCTACCAAAAGAGACATCCTAGAGACATGTAGCAGAGGTGGGTTAGAAAAAGCACTGAAAGAATTTAGTAATACTACCAAGTAAGTTAGTTGCATTTTCCCTTTAGGCTGTGTAAGATTTGACTCTTGGAATATGCCATATTCAAAGATTCAGGACAGCAGATAAGACACACTGTATTTATATGGTATCTTATCAAACATTTCTGAGCAGAAAAGGTTTGGAAGAATCCCACCATTTGGCACATGAAACCAAAGTATCACCCCAGGCAATAGTAGTTCTCTTTTCAGTCCCTTCTGGAACAGAAAAGCTGCCATTCAACAGTATATAGAAGTGAATCTTCTATATACTTAGAACCACAAAGGCAAAATGTAATTACTCACATTGATTTGTTCAGGATTCTGGGACTAATAATATTGACTTCTAGGCAAAATACATGGGGATCTTTCACATGCTGTGGTTATGACTCTGATTTCACAAGTGCTCGAAACATGGAAGCTTTTAAAATAGACCCTGGTCTGAGGTACCACAGAAAATATTCAAAATGAAAAGCTGTGTCTTTCACAGCAGTATAGGAAGAGCAGGTGCTAGTATAGCACCATCAATGATTTTCCCTGAATATTTCTCCTCTCTTATGCTATTAGTCTGAAAACTGTTTGGAGATCCAAAATAAGCATTTAAGTAGTGACCTATTTTAAAGTCAAATTTAAGGGTTATTCTTAAGTTTTGTCTGCTCGGAACCTTGTGACAGAAAAACTTCAAGAGAATAAAAAAAGATTTTTATCTACAGAAAGGAGAACAATTTTGGACGTACTACAGGTTTCATGGATATTTACTCAATCAAGACCTGAATTTCTCTAAAGGTAAATCTGGTATCATCTGATCTGTATTAACATTCAGTGGCATAATGCCAAGTATTGATATTTCTACTTATTCGGAAAACCTAGTCCACACAAGATCTATGTGAACAGCCTTTGATTACATAACAGTGATGGGATAAATACTCTGTCTCAGTATGACAGAATCTACGCCTCTGAGCATAGAAAACAAGTTGAGATTGGTCTAGTATAAGGTTAACATGTACCTGAGACTCCACAGTTTTATCTTCCACTGGTCATACCTCTGTCTTCATAAATGGTAATTTCAATCTGCACAGAAAAGCTGTTAGGGAAACATACTATAAAAAGATTATGAAAAAAAAAAAGTGGAAAAACGTTAAGATACTAGAACTTTTGATCTTTCTGCTTCATACCTGCTGTTTCAAGGCTAGTTTCAGAGCTACAAAGTAAACAGAACAGTACACATAAGAGATGCCCTGTCAGGTCAGATCAGCGGTCTATCCAGCCCAGGACTGTCCTGACAACAAGAACACAAGATGCTGTGCATGGAGGGTTTGTGAGCCTTGCCACCTTCTGTTAAATTTCAGGAAAGGCTATGCACTAGACAAAAGTTAACACTTCTACAGTTCAGCTGCTAAGTCACTAACAAAACTTTTACTCAAGTTGAATGTTTTTTTTTCAGGAGGTGCATGCATAGAAAAGTGTGGAAAACATACTGAGAATAATGAAGTCATGTAGGTGACAGCTATAAGCTATTTAGACAAATACACAGATAACCCAACTGCAAGGAATTTAGCCTTAGCATGCATTTAATTGGCATTCTCTGCTTCAAGTTGCTTCGGTTTCAATATTCTCAAAAAATGATAACGTGTTATTCATTCTACCCCTAGATTTGCTATGTGAGGTCTTTACAACTGCTAAGGTAATAACTAGATAAAATGCCTTCAGTGTGGTTCAAGAGTTGAAGAAAAAAAGGTTAAAACAAGCCATGGTAGAACCAAGAGCAAGTGCTAGGCTGGTATCAACTTAAAGGGATGTCATATGGCAAAATCTTCACCCGAACCTGAGCTGAGGGTTGCAAGTTAAGCAACAGCCATCTCTTGCTTTCACATTATCAATTTCTATCCTACCAAGCTGTTCACTTTTTTCCAATCGGACAAACTTCATTTTTAGAAGTCACTGAAGTAGAGGAAGCATCTAAATTGTTGGAAGTACTCTGTTTATACATACTGCGTTTTCAAGGAAGTCGCTAAGGACAGATTCCCATACTGCGTTTTCATTGCCTTTTGATGTGACAAATCTTAACGTACTAAAATCTGACCAGAGAACAGTACACAACGGAGAGTACAAAACGGAGAGTAACAAGACTAATCACATATTCTGCCGTATCACAGATGAAGCATGACCACAGGGTGCCATACTGAGATAAACAGGTAGCACATCATAAATGGACAAACCAGGAGACAATCTAAGAAACTACAGAAGGATACAACTCTTAGTCCTCTTTCAATGGGGTCTGTCAGAAGGAGGCCCTGAGGAGCATAGATCTTCTCGTTCTGTTCCTGAATGAACTTGGCAATTTTCTTTAGAACCTAGTAACAGAACAGCACAGAAGTCACAGTTCCTTAGTCAGGTTTCCCTATGTTAAGAGTCAGAGCCCCAGCAATATCACAGATATAGCAACGTTAGGAGAGTCTAGCACACAACTAGAGACAGAACTTGCGTGATTCCTCTGAAGTACAAGCAATCATTACGTTACTCAAATTGACTAATATAGACAAATCTGTCTGATGTATATGTGAAATCACTCTGCAGTAAGATCCAGAGTCTATATGGAATCTGTAGGACAACGGTGCAAGCCACAGAAATCCTACCAAGAAATAAGTCTTTGGCTGAAGCCTATGAGACATACTGCCTTCCAAGTAACAAGGTAAACAAAAGAAGTGCACCTTTTCATAATGCGTTTCCATGCACAAGAAGATGGTATAGGCAGTCAGACAGGCGAGACACCCTTCAAGATAAGATTGGCCCCCAAGTTTTTCAGCTTCTGCATAGAGGTTATTCAGTGTTCGGACAGTCTCTTCAAACTGCTGCCTATCAATCTGCAAGAGAAGTCAAGTTTAGCTGTCACGCCCTGCACATTTCAGAACTCACCGATGTCTTCAGATATCTACCTTCATTTACTGCTTATTTGCACTTCCACACCTTGCAGCCACCGTGTTTAGAGCCAAAGTCTGAAGGACACTTTGAGTTACAGACCTGTAGTTCTTTGTTAAGTATCTGCCAAGTGATTAGATCAAGTCTGAATTCCAACACAATGTGAACACAAACAAGTAATATAACGAAACCAATGTGCAATTCAATTGGAAAAAAAAAAAGCTTAATTCACACACAAAGAGGTAAGTTAGATTAAAAAGAGCAGTTAGGGAGTGGACTGACAGAGCTGACTCCTAATATCAATAATGCCTTGCTGCTGCTGCAGTGCTGGTCAAACAAGCTCTCAATAAAACAATACAAAACAAAACAAAGAAACGGGGAAGAAAAGAAAAGTGCAATGAAAAAAAGAAAAGGCATTAGCAAAGAGTGTTTATTTTGCTATCAGTTGAAGATATTACATCTGACAGCATTAAACAAAATGAAAGTACTTGAGACAGTACTTGTGAGGTTACTGAACAGGCTCAACAGAACTGGCTGGTCTCCACAAGAGAGGACAGCGTTAACGCACCACAGTACAACAACGCACGCTTTATTCTCAGCAACACAATGAACACATTCTATTTTACTGCTACAAAAGACAGCTGGCTTCCTCAGGATTAAAGAAAGCACAAAACACCAGCATTTCATAAACACTGAAGAGAAGCATTTTTGAAGTATTTTTCATGAGGCTTTTCACTGCAAATGAAAACTATTTTCTTACCACAATTGATCAGAAATACCATTTGGACAACAAACAACGCTTTTATGCCAAAAACCAAACAATATCCAAAGCAGGATATGCCTTTAAAATTTGAAATCATGCCTCTCTCACACCATGCACAGGGCTGCAACAAAAAGAGAGGATTAGAAAGCTCTAGCGTCCTCAAACTTACAGACAGATATGAGACCTCAGCATAGCAGCCTTGGGGCGTGCCGGAGAGAGAACTGCTCCCAGGACAGGGACACGGGGGTGAAACCCCTCCTCCCTCCCACACCTGAAAGGGACGGCCTTAGGAAAAGGAGCGGAGGGTTGTGCAAGAGACCTACCACGTGCTCCGGAAAGACGGAGAACGGGCTTACGGCCACGAGAGTCTGCCGGGTCACTCGTGAGCGCCGGCCGCTCCCCGTCCGCACGCCCTTACACCCAAGGGCCCGCGGGCGTACGCCGGGTCCCGCCCTT